CCACACATTCTGAAGATCAAATAAATCTCTATAGACCACATGCAAAGGAGGTAGTATAATACAGGCATTGAGGGTAAAGAATTTGAAGTCAAACTGTCTCAATTTCCAGCTCTACAACTTAGTACCTATGTGATTTTTTGAAAGTCACTTAACCTCTATAGCTTTCTTGATCTGTAAAGCGGGGATAACAATAGTATGTATCTCATAGGTCTCTTGTGAAGATTAAATATGATAATGCACATTGCCATATTACCACAGCCCTTAGCACTTAGTAAACACTCAACAACGTATGTTATGCTCACAGTGTCAACAAAAAACTTCTTATAGAGCAGTTAATTCATAGTAGACTTCAGACGAAAAACTGTTCCTGGTAACAAAGGACACTACTACACTCAATGAGTTGTTGCCACTGGTCACAGAAAAAGATAGTACATTTAGAGAAACCTATCCACTGCACAAAAAAATCACCAACATTTGTATTGCAGGAGTAGTACAATTTTACACACCGTACCTAAATCTAAGCACATATCCTATTGACAGTAAGTGCAGGTATAATTACCTTTACATAAAAATATGTTATTTCCACCATTAGAAATGACTTTTGCAATGTAAACCTGCCTTTTTCTCTTACTGCTAACCTTTTCAGCATAAAGGTTACTCTATTCCACCTACTAAACACTCTACCTAAAGAAAAAAAATCTTCCATGTATTTGTGATATCCCAATTTGGCATGACTTCAGAGATAAATCATTTAACTATGAAAAATTAAAGCAATTTAAGTATCAATGTTCTTCCTGATATAAAAGTACCAGTACCAGACTACTTCAGTCAACCATCAGTCAACCCCACCACCATCCATTTTACTCTTCAGAAGTTCACCAATATCCCCAGCACTAATATGGAGAGAAGATACCATCCATATCTTTGAGATAATTAAAACATTTCATCTAACTAGGATATTGATATGTGAAGCAGAAAAAAACTGGCTTTCTTATAGGTACAATGTCCTAATGATAGAGAAATGGGATATAAAATGTTCTTTTAAAATTATATAGAAAGGGGGGATCCCTGGGTGGCGCAGCGGTTTGGCGCCTGCCTTTGGCCCAGGGCGAGATCCTGGAGACCCGGGATCAAATCCCACATCGGGCTCCCGGTGCATGGAGCCTGCTTCTCCCTCTGCCTATGTCTCTGCCTCTCTCTCTCTGTGTGTGTGACTATCATAAATAAAAAATTAAAAAAAATTAAAAAAATAAAATTATATAGAAAGAAAAAGGTAAAAAACTGCATGGTATGTTCTGTAACTACTTTATGAATACTCAATCATTAGAGTCCAAGAAAACAAGCTTGCTCCTACAGTTTGTCAACCTTAAAAAAGAAATCTCACTTCTAATATAAATTGATCTAATACAAGTGGATGTATGGTATTGTTATACATACCTGTATGACTGGTATCGGGTGCACATTTACTAATAGCAACATCAGAGGAAAAAAATCAGAAATATTTAATCAAACATCCACAAAACCTTTGGCCCTGTGCCAAATATAAGCAGTAAGCACCAAAAAGATGTTTTTAAAAGTAACTATTTTCAACAACACAATTGTAGTTTTATAGGGGACAGGGAGGGGATTCTATAAGCACTATTGAGTAGCAAAACCTTATTAAGATGGTCTGCATCAAAAAAAAAGCAATTATAAAAAAAGCGATTCTAAGTTATCTCTAATTTTTCAGAGGAAAAATTACAAGTGTAGTTGAAATTCATGGTTTTCCAGCAGATTTGCTATTATAAATATGTTGTGCTTAGAGTAATATGAAAGTTAGTTTTCATGCCTTGAGTACACATTTTCTAGAGGATAAAAGGACAATGTAATCTGAGGTATGCCGAGTGTATAGAGAAACCCAACAGCTAAATTAAAAGTGAACCCAGATAATCCATAACATAGCAGCTGCATGTATAAAAAATTGGTAAGTCACTCAACCACAGAAGGCCTAAGCCATGATCTCACATTAAAATGTTTTTTTTAAAGATTTTATTTATTTATTCATGAGAGACACACACACACACAGAGACAGAGACAGAAACACAGGCAAAGGGAGAAGCAGGCTCCATGCAGGGAGCCCGATGTGGGACTCGACCCCAGGATTCCAGGATCATGCCCTGGGCTGAAGGCAGGTGCCAAACTGCTGAGCCACCCAGGGATCCCCACATTAAAATGTTTTTAAAATCAACCATTATGATCACTCAAATATAACTTTTAAATCGTTTGTCCCAAACTTCACTCTTTGGAGGTTAAGTGAAATGAAGGATGATGGGTTTCAGGCTGGAGAATATTTTAACAAGGCCATTTTCCTTTACATCTGCCTCATCCCCAGAAAGATAGTGAGTGGGACTACCCAGAGATCCTTTGGCATTTTACTGTACATTCCTAAAACTGAGTGGAACTTTTTGCTCTGTCATGTCACAGGTGCATCCTCCTTCCACTGTCCTTTAAATCAGTACACTCAATCTCCTTTCAAAACAGAGAATTCTTTTCTTTTCAATAGGTAATGGGCATATTCTCAATTTGTTTAGGTGCCTTAACAAGTTTCTTAAAAAAAAAAAAGTAAACAACAAGTACCCAGAAGTTTCAAAGGAAGAAAGAAAGAAGGAAAGCTGCAGAAAACCTGAACCTGAGGCCATCAGTCTTTACCTGCTTCTTTGTTGTTACCTGATCATTTGCCATTAAGGATGTCAAAAGGGGGACACAGTGTCTACACAGGTTTTAGTGTCAAGAGGTGGGCTCCTGTGGCTTGATGAAGGGGCAAAAGGGAAGCACTTCACGGGCGCGCCCCACTTTGATGTAAGCTGGATTTCGAAAAAGACAAAATAGTAAACTACAGGCCAGCTTTAAAGAGTGCGTGGGTTGGGTACAGCTAGTGTAAAGGTTAGCCGGCAGGCAAGGGAAACCATACGAGGGCGGAGGCTGGGAAGGAAAAGTTTCAAACACCCTCGGGGGCCTAGCGATTTACCAGCGTGCGGTCCCCCACCCAGGCTCTGCTCTGGCCCCCAGAGCAGGAAGTTGCTGGAAAGCAAGCAGCCCTATTTTTAAACGTACACCTCTCCCTTGGGCTGGAGAAGGCTTGAGTTACCAGAGTTGTAAATAATGTTTCTTCCTAAGCAAGTGAGGGCAGATTGGAATTCTCTAGCCAAGGCCGAGGAGAGAGGAAGGTAAAGGGACAAAAAAAAAAAAATTAAATTTAAATCTAAAAAAATTTTTAAGAAGTAATTTCTGCCCTGAGAGTGAGGTGACTGGGGGGAGGGGGGGGAGGAGCGGGAGAGAGGTGGGAAGAAGGAAGGACTTACCGCAGCCTCTGCGGGCTGCCCCCAAAGACTCAGGGCCAGTAAGAACCAGCCGGCAGCCAGGCTGACTCCACGCAGTTTCATTCTTCTCCGGCTCCCGCAGCTCCTTCAGCACCCGCACGAGACCTCTGGCTAGGTCTGACCAACTGACATAATCTTGAGTTTGTGGGGAGAGAGCTAGAAGCAGAGAGGAGCAGCGAGGGTGTCCCAATTGTGCCCGTCGGCTTAGGTGAGGAGAAAGCTTTTTAAGAGTGGAGGGGGTGGGGAATAAAAAAGGAGACGCTCTCCTTCCCTCCCTCCTCCCCTACCCAAAGCCAGTCTCTCGGGAGCACTTTTCCCTTCTGTCTGAACTTGCAAACTTTTTCCTCACTCCAAGTCGCACAGCTCAACTCTCCGCCCTCTCTCCTCCCGCACCGCCCCCTCCCCACCAGCACTTTTGAGGATCACTCCGCCACCGCTTCAGACTGCACCAGCAACCTGCGAGGGAGTGACGCTCAGTTATTTGGGGGAGGGAAACTTCCAGATCAGTTGGCTGAGCACTCTGACTCCAATCGGGAAGCTTTTCTATTCGTTCACTTTCACCTTCCATTGGCATACTCTTCCCTGCCCAGTCCCACTCTCATTGGTGAGAGCACCAAAGCCAATTACAAATAGACCTGAGCTGGAACTATTTTTTTAGCGGATGGGTCTTAGAAGAACTGAGAGTTTTTATTATTAATGGTTAGAAACAAATTTTGGTCGCCACTTCCTGGGCTGCTGGTGTGCTTTCCACCCACCTGGTCGCAGGACAGTTTCTACATACGGTAGAATGTGTGAATATGTTAGAACTGTAGAAATATATTTATGTAATTAAATATATTCTTGCAACCGAAGAATTAAGAAAATGAACCTAATTGTGTGTATATGAAAACTTGATGCGTGTTATAAACGTCTAAAATTGAGAAACATTCAGTAGATACTGCAATTATTATGTTGTTGCATGTTATTGTAATACAGTCACATCTTTTTATTTAACTACATTGCTAAATGCTATGATTTTTACTTTTTATATTGAACTAATGTAAAAGATACTGACTCTCTTTACAGTTGCGTTTCAGAAGGATTTAAATAACTTTCGCGCAGTTTTTAAAACTGACACACACACCGAATTGGAAACATATATATAGAGTTAAGAGCAGTTGAATTGATGTTTCCGAAATAAAGTAGACTTGAGCATTACTTTGGTAATCCTGATTCAAAGATCTGTTAAAGTACTAACAGGCCAGAAAATACTTTGTGTGGACTCCTTGGAGGGTCTGCCAGGAATTTGCTCAAGATTTCTTCACAACATTTCTCTTATTTCAGACTCGAATCTGCCACTTAGGCTTTCAAGGCTTTGGACCTATTCATGGGGGCCTACTTATCCATAGATTCTACTCAATTTTGGGTAGATTTAACACTCCAGAAGCCACCACCACCAGCAGCACCCCCAAGAGCTGAATATACATACAATCAATTGGAGTAAGTGTTGTATGCATTTGGGCTAGCGTGCATGGGCACTTTGGGGCCCATCTGCAGGAGTCCTATGCCCTAAATCTATTTATGTGTAATAGTTAACAGTGGTTCATGGAAGCTGCATAGTTGCTTAGAACTTAGTGTATAGGTCTCTATGGGTCTGCGCTTGAAGCTTTGGAGATGCGTGGGAACGTTACGTATAGAGGTGCCTGAAAGTGAGAAAGACGCCGGGCAGCCCAAGGTAGGGGGGATGATTGACGGCAGACAGCCCCGCCCCTTTCCCCTCCATTCCTTCCTCTCCTAGTGTAGGGAACTATCTTTTGAGTGCGACAAGTTGTAGCGGGCACCGCTGTTTTCCTTTGGGGCACTTTTATCTAGAAGCTGAGTTAGTTTCTTCCAAAATGAGCCACTTCGCCCCCCTGGCCCGTCCTCCTGAATAAGGAAGCAACCGCCAAGCATCAGCGGAGCCCTGATGAGCCTGGGCTGTGAAGCCGCTTAGCTGTCTCCCGGGACCCAGCTCCGGAGGAGCCGCAAGCATGCACCCTGGGTGAGCTGTTGCTGCGCTGAGTTCTCCTCCCTCTTTCCTACTTTGAGCTACTTTGCCTACCGGGACTATACTATATGTCTTTGCAGAGAAAGTGGGGGCGGGGCAGGCAGCAAAAAGGGGTCGGGGACTATGGACATAGGAGGACCCCGGAACCTAGAGAGCCCATGTTACTCACCCTTCCTCCTGTTTCAGGTTGTGGCTGCTCCTGGTTACGTTGTGCCTGACTGAGGAACTGGCAGGAGCCGTGAGTCTCTTTTCCGATCCCTCTCCCCCCTCCTCCCTTGAACCCCCTCTTCACTCCAGCTCCTGTGTTTGTGTTAGGGGGTTGCGGAAGGTTGCAGTGTGAAACAGAGCTCCCATCACTCTCCTTTATAGTGGGAGTTAATGGGGTTCTTAGAGAGGGATAGCACAGTGTCACGCTTATGCCTTGGTGACTCAGGCATCTTCTGCCACAAAACTTCCTAATGCGTGGGGAAAATAAAAGTAGAAGACACAAGAGGCAGGCACACATATTTGAGCCTCTTCCCAGATGACTTAAGATAACTGACATATGATGCCTTTCTCAGCATCTATCTCCAAGGCAGAAGAAATGTGAGTTTGCCTGGTCTACATGAACATGAATTGGCACACAAGTTTGAGAGTGGGAGGAGAGCACAAGGAGTGGGACTTGAAAGTGCCAGGAAAGATATGGAAGTTAAACTTAAGTATTTGCTTGGGAGTCCTTTGATAGTACCAGATGACAGCATCTAGACTCTAACTACCTGAACAGAATAATACCACATGATGATGTTCAATTTCTATCTGCTGTTACCTCTCACGGGTTTTCTGTGTCATCAGAAAGTTAAAAGGTAGGGATCCCTGGGTGGGGCAGCGGTTTGGCGCCTGCCTTTGGCCCAGGGCGCGATCCTGGAGACCCGGGATCGAGTCCCATGCACCGGGATCGAATCCCACGTCGGGCTCCCGGTGCATGGAGCCTGCTTCTCCCTCTGCCTATGTCTCTGCCCCTCTCTCTGTGTGTGTGTGACTATCATAAATAAATAAAAATTAAAAAAAGAAAGTTAAAAGGTAATGTTTAGAATAGAAAAAAATATTTGAAAGTTAACGTTTTATAGGCTGCTTAGATATCATCCATCAAATCAGCTAGGGACTGCAGGCAAAGGAATTTCTGTAGACATTTGGTCAAGAAAAGTTTAATGGACCCCAGAGAGTAAAGACATCTCCAGTGTAATTACGAGGATACTTTACCAAAGTTGGGATGACCCGAATAATCAGAGATAGTGCAGTTTTCCAGTCTCACTAGCTACTTATGCTGGCAGAAATAAAGTTAACCGCTGAATTCATACATGAAGTTGTTTGACTATTGAGTCCTATTTCACTGCTCTATTTAATAAACTGTTAATAGCCAGGGTCACGCTCCCTATAGATGACAGATTAATATATATTCCAAATATTTACCTTGTGGGTTTGACTATTTAAAATGATTGGCTGTATTTCAAATACTTAAATATTTTAAATACTATTTATAGCCATACTTAATTCAACCCAATAAAATCAGCTAATATGTTTATTGGGGGAGGGGGGCGGATTACTTTGTCCTGGCAGATATCTTTAAGAACATGTCAGAATGAAGTGAAATGATTTATCTTGTGAAAAGAAAATGATGCCAGAATACTTGGCTTTTAACATATTGTGACACCCTCTACCAGCTCCCCAACTCAGGACATCAGCTCTTATGTAAGTAAATTCTAGACTTTGTCAACAGGATTATTGATCTAGGGTTCTGTGCACTTCTCTGATTCCCCCAGTACACGAGTTTAGTTATGTGTTACCTGGAGGCTTAATACTGCATTTATTGGAAATGCCAGGTTTTGATTAGTTAACAATTTGTCTGGGAATCTTGCCACTTGTAAAAATGTTATGCTTGGGCAGCATACCCTCCAGCAAAACCTTTATTTTCAGACTCTAGATGATTGTATTCAGTGTACTTTTGGGGAAAAGCATTAACAAATCATTCTAGATGGCTAGAGACTTCCCAAACACTGCATCTTATCACTTGATATCCTTAAAAGTCACTGGAGGATTGTGCTTTAATTCTTAGAAGTATTGAAGTGTGTCTCCAAAATCAAGCACTGCTTTGGTCTGTGGATTTCAGATTCTGTCTCATTGTTTTACGATTTCACCTGCTATGTCAGTGTGAGTGACCTTGGTAAGACTAAAATAAACCTTGAACTACACTGACAATATTTTTTACCTTATTTACATCCAGAGCTGCTTCATTCACTGTTACTTGTGAATATTTGGCAGTGTAAAGCTTTTTTTTTTTTTCATTTTGGAGAAAATGGCAAAAAAGAGGAGTACCACAGAATAAGATCTCAAAAGGTGACTTTTTTCTAAGAATTTTATTTTTATTTATCCATGAAAGACAGAGAGAGAGAGAGAGAGGCAGAGACACAGGCAGAGGGAGAAGCAGGTTCCATGCAGGGAGCCCAACATGGGACTCCATCCTGGGCCTCCAGGATCAGGCCCTAGGCTGAAAGGCGGGGCTAAACCGCTGAGCCACCTGGGCTGCCCCAAAAGGTGACTTTTTTGAAGGGAAGTTTTTTGTTCCCATTTACTCTTTGTAGTGGATTCTCATATATATTGGATGGTTCTCATCTCCTCCCAGTTCCAGTTTATCCTCTGGTTTGTAATGTTTTTCACCTTTCAAATGGTTTTAGTTCTTTTAATTCTCTGTACCTTGTTTAACTAATATTAATGAAAAATAACTTACAAATAGATTTACAAGGAGCTAGGTTGTGCTTCTCTATAAGAAAGTTTGTTTGCGGGCAGCCCGGGTGGCTCAGCAGTTTAGCGCCACCTTCAGCCCAGGTCGTGATCCTGGAGACCCGGGATCCAGTACCACATCGGGCTCCCTGCATGGAGCCTGCTTCTCCCTCTGCCTGTGTCTCTGTGTCTTCCATGAATAAATAAATAAAATCTTAAAAAAAAAGAAAGTTTGTTTGCTGTGAGAGCTTGGATGCCAATAATAGAATATTGGTGAGCATTTGAGATGGGGTCTTTTAGGTGCTTTTGATTGTTCTTTGTCAGAGTTTATAAAGCAGTGCTATTCAAAGGGATGGGAAGCTAAATGTCAAAATCTGGGATTAAAGAATGAGTTTCCATTAAATTTCTTTTAAAAGAGTGATGATCTTCTTTGAGGTAAACTACTTGCACAATTTATCTGAATGAGATAGAACCTAGGATTTCAGAATATCCATAATCGTTTTTGGTTATTAAGTGCCTGAGACACAGCACACAAAGATTTATTTAAACATAGTCTCTAACTCTCTAGGATGTTACTTTCTCAGACAATGATCATTATGTTCCTTAAAAGATAAGATACCTAATGATAAATTACTATCTGTATGTGTCTGCATTGTGTTAAAGTAAAAACTAGAAAGATTTGTATATCACCATGGGCCAACATGTCTAGCAGTTAAAATATGTGACCAAAGTAGTCAGGGTCCTTATTTTTTCTTCCCACTTTGCCCCTAATCTACTTTCATGAAACTTCTAATACAACTAAGCATCATTAAAGCCAAAGCCCAGCAAGAGTTATGTGGGTGGAGAAGAGGCAAAAGGGAGAAAATATATGTCTGGTTATCACGTTCTGTAAAGAGCATACATAAAATGCCTTAGCCGTATTCATATCAAAGTCTGATTGAAATACAAACTTCTTTCCTTAAAGTTGTAATTTGCTCAAGTTGGTCCTTTCCACTGTGATATTCAGTCCTAATTACAGCCATCGAAGTATGAATAGAGTGTTCGAGTTTATCAGAGATGGAAAAAGTTTCTTCCTACTCTAAGGATCAAGAGGAGTATTTGCCTTGTTTAGGGCTGTGTCTCTAATAATTCTTTCTCTTTTTTTGAAAAACAACTTTATTGAGATACAATTTAAATACCGTAAACTCACCCATTTTATGTATACAAGTCTATGATTTTTAATAAATTTACCAAGTTGTGCAACTGTCACCATATCCAGCTTTAGAACATTTTCATCACCCCAGTAAGATCCTTCATATCCAGTCACAGTTAATCCTCATTCCCACCCTTAACCCCAAACAAACATAAATCTACTTTTATACCTCTATAGATTTGTCTTTTCTGGGCATTACATATAAATAGAATAGGATTATATAATATGTGATCTTTTGTGTTTGGCACCTTTTACTTAGAATAATGTTTTTGAAGTTCATTCGTGTTGTAGCATGCATCAGTATTTTACTCTATTGGTATTGGCTTTTAATATTGGTATTCCATTATGTATATACCCCATTTTTTGTACATTTACCAGTAATGGACATTGGGTTCTTTCCACTTTTTGGCTATTATGAATAATGCTATTTTGAACATTAACATGCAGATCTTTGTGTGGACATACAATTTATTTTTCTTGAGGAGATATATACAAATGGAATTGCTAGGTCATATGAAAAATTTATATATGTTTATTTAAATCTTTTGCCCATTTTAAGATTGGCTTGTCTCCTTCTTATTGAGTTGGGTTTTTTTTGTTTTTTTCTTCTTCTTATTGAGTTGTAAGAGTTCTTTGTACATACTGTATACAAGTCCTTTGCCATACATTACAACTTGCAAATATTTTCTCCCAAGCTGTAGCTGATGCCTGGTCTTTTCATTTTCTTAATATGAAATTTTAAAGTAGTCTTCTGCTTTGCATGCTAGCAAATGTCCTATATCAGTTAGCTATGAATAATCACAATATATAGCATATGTTGTGTGTATACAGACTATATTATCTTGGGATGACTAAGAATACTGATCCATATGTATGAGTATATCATCAAATGAATCTTCAAATGGCTACATAAGTGGATAACACTTAGATGATAATGTAGCTACATTATTGACAGGTCAAATACAAACATATTTTGAAACAGGAGAGGAGGGGAAGTAGATATTATTTAATATGCTACTAAAGAAGGAGATATATAATTCCATATCACAAATTTGTTTTATTATATGTCCTGATGATTATATTTCTTTTTTTGATGATTATATTTCAATATAATTCATTTCCACTGTAATCCTATGTATTCTATTGGATACATTAAAAAATATTATTCTGAAAAGGAGTCCATAGGCTTCACTAGACTGCCAAAGTAATCTGTGACATTAAAAAAAACCCTAGTTATAGTGTTGGATATTATTTTATTTTTTATTTTTATTTTTTAAAGATTTTATTTA